AATCTTGGCCTATTCATGTAATTGATCTTTTTTTTTCCGTAGGTAATTTGGAAATAATCATCCTTGTCCCCCCTTGTCTTCAATCCCCTCTACCATTTACTACACTAGATAAGGTTCATTAAGTTTACCAGAGCTGGGACTATATTAAAGCTTTGCAAACAAATGTATTGTTTCCAAGTATTACAATTATCAGTGATTAGAAGAACTTTCTAAGGAATATTTGCTTATATGCTTACCCCTTCATAACTTCCACAACGGATGCTGTGAGTTCCCCACACTTATCTGTTGGCATTGGCTGCTAGTTGCACACTGATGCTCTTTGAATGCTTTCAAGCACCTGTGATTTAGATGAAAGGCTTTCTTTGGTCACAGAAACATGTCCAACTTGCAAAATGGGACAGGCTAGAAAAGGTAGAGATGGGGTAGGGGCATTTGTTGACATCTCATGTATCCTACAATAGATTCTAGAAATCAAGAACACTGAGCTCAATCTTCCTGCATGCACCAGTAACCTGTTCATCAGGGCTCACTCAATTGGCCGGCTTCCTTTTGCTGTCTCATTTTTCCCTCTCTCCTACCTATATATCCAGAGATCTCCTCCTAAATAGACTATTACCCACAAATCCCTAGTCTTAGTGTCCACGTCTAGGAAAACCCAAACCTAGAGACACTCCAGAATAAGCAATAGCTTCCCCTGGCAGTTGTATAAGAGGATTAAGTGAGTGAGAGACAACACTCACCTCCCATCCCTATGGTCTTTCTTCTCCTCACGGGGAGTGTGTTGTATGTCACCTTCTCCTTATCCAAATTCCTACCTTCTCTGGAAGCTCTGGAAATTTCATCTTGCAACTCACAAGTTCTCTTACATATCCTATCATGTTCTCCCCTCCCACTTCTCCTGCCTTTCAAATTTTTCAGATTATTTTAGGAAAATGTCTCTCCTTCCAAGCCCCTAACTTTATTTTTGAGCCTCTAATATTTCTTAACTCATGTCTGAAGATGCAAGAGCACCTGGAGAGGAAAGTCATATTTTCCAAGTGTCATTGGACATAATGAAAATCATCACCCTCAATCTCCAAAGCACTGCAAGGTGTCCCTAAGCTCTCCTCTCAGAATCACTATACATGACTTCTTTCTCTTCCTCACCCTCTTGTAAACCCAATTTTTGTCAAGTGCCAACTTTTGGGATAAAGGTAAATCCAATTCTCTTAAAACTTTCTACATCTTTTTTTGTTTGTTTGCAAGTAAAATTTCAAGATTTTTCTAAAACTATTTTCCTTACAAATACACAGCATTATGGTAACATTAAAGCTATAAGAGTTTTCTATGGTTGAGCACTAGATAAAGCAGCACATTTAACATGATTTCCAACACGTTTTTGCATAGAGAATGACAGCACCCTCTCCCCCCTCCTCCTCCATAGAGATATTGATGCACATGACTCAGCTCTACTAACAACTTGGACAGGAACAAGAAGTTTGTATTTTAAGTATACAGCTATCCACCGGATGCCTCCAGCTTAAAATACAGTATTTCCTTGGGCTCTAATGTAAAAAGCATTGGGAGGATCAGATGTTTGTCTAGTAGTTTTGTATGGTGACACCCAATGTACATACAGTACCAATGGTGGGTTTGTTCATTCATCTATCCATCCTTTCATGAGACTTTAAGCTTATAAAGGAGAGAATATGTCTTTTCTGCTCATGCAATTCTTTGGTGACAGTACTCCAACTCAAATGAGTTTGAGCAAAAAAGAGGATTTATTTGCTCACAAGATTTATTTATTTAAAATAGAAAAAGAGAGAATGGGGGAGGGGCAGGAGGCTAGAGGGAGAGGGAGAGAATCCCACACACACTCCACACTGAGCATGGAGCATGATGCGGGGCTTGATCTCACAACCCTGAGATCATGACCTGAGCCCAGGTTAAGAGTCCAGTGTTCAACCGACTGAGCTACCCAGGCGCCCCAAGACATGGTCTCTTCATGAGATTCTTTCCTCTGTGTTAGCTTCTTTCTCTCAGGCAGGCTCCCCAAAAGTGACCATAAAGATATTTCTCAGCAGCAATGGGTTTTTATTATGGTCACAGCTAGAATCTCAACAAAATGAGAATATCTTTTTCCCAATAAACCCAGCAAAGGTCCTGGGAAGAAATCTAGTTGGTTTTGTTTGACTATTCTTGATCCAATCGGTTTGGTCCAGAAGAACAAAGCACACTTACTGGTCAGGCCTGAGATGTGTGTCCATCCCGGGAGCTAAGGGATGGACAGCCCCATCTATCCACCTGAGCCAAGATGGCAGCAAGGTGGTACTTCCATTCTATTTCACATCTCTGATTATGACCAATCGTAGCACATAACTTGGGGTTAAATAAGTTGACATACTCTAAGTCAAGTTCAGAGGAAGTATAGTCCTCTTTGATTTCTTGGTCTGCTCATACTGAACTCCAGGAGTTCTTCCATCAACACCTGTGACTTGAGATATCTTCTCAGTGCAATTGGAGTTGTCATCCCAGGCCAAAATGTTACTGCTGGAATTCAGTATTTGTTGAGATGTAGTGACATTCAAAACAAGAGGGGGAAGAAGGATCACTTAGGGGATGCAAGCAAATCTGTTCAATTGTCCAGAATCCATGATCTGTGAACCTAAATGCAGTTAGGACATATCTTCCCACAGGAAATTAATTTGGGTACCATGCGTTTACCACATCTAGGAAGGAGAAAGCTCTTACATAAACTGTCTCATTTCCTACAGAATAAATTTGAGATGTTGCTGCCTCCTGGCAAAGCGATAAATTTGCAACAAGCACAACTCAAGCCCCAGTTTTTATCTGAGATTTCTGTCTTTCTCACCCAGCGGGTCCCAGTACATTTCCATTTCTCCTTTGAGTTCTGGGTTCTCAGCACTTATATGCTGCCCTGATGGCAAATTCTACCTAGTAACAGACTCCACAGTATTTAGAGGGTAGGTGGTCACTTTCTCAGCCACCACTGCCTTTAGTAGGGACCTGCTCATGCCTAAGACATTGCCTCTAAAGAAAGGCATCACTCCTTTCCATCTTTATTTCAGCCGGAAGAGCTTCCTCTTCAGATTTCCAGACTGGAGATGCTTTTTATGCTTCTTAATGCTGTGTCTCTAGGGGCCCAGCAAAGACCAGTACCTCTGCCCCCTGTTCCTCATGACACCATTGCTCCTGACTCTCCTCTGCTTTGGATTTCTGTTAAGTTCTCAGACATGCTCTCTTGGGGCACTAGAAATATCTGCTTGCTTACCTTCTGTATTACCTTGAAACTCAGAAATGCTTTAATATTTTTGCTTTTGAATATACAAACAAATTTGAGGTTCGTTACCCCCTTCTTACCATTACCCAGATGTTTAAAGTATTCACATCTCCTCCACACAGCTCTTGTGTTTTCAGGAACCTGGCCCTGAGCCTAACTCTAGAAATGGTCTGGTTTGTCTTAAGCTGGATAATCCATTCTCCCAGTAAAATGACTGGTGAGTAATGACCTAAGCTACTCCAAGTGAGGATGAATCTCAGGACTTTCACTTGCAAAGCTGGAGAAAAGAGCTCTTACTCCCTCTACTGGTTGTGAAAGAGACAGCATGAGGCTGGTAGCCACCTACTGCCATAGAAGTACTTGCTAGAACTTGTATGGAAAAATAATTGGAGGACGCTATATGTATTCCAAAGAATAACTGGCCAAATGAATTGAGAAATTTCTCTTTGAGAAATATATGTATGTATATGTATATGTGTATGTGTATGTATATGTGTGTATGCATATAGTGCTCACAGGTGTGTGTGTGTGTGTGTGTGTGTGTGTGTGTGTGTGTATTGCTCACTGGTGGAAAAGCCTCATTCCTTCAAGGTAGATTTTATTTTTTCAAATAAAAATAGAAGTTACTCAGAACCCAGAGTAAATAGGTAGATGATCGGTTTGAGTAATAGTATTTCTCTGTGTTTCATTTCATTTTGTTTTGTTTTAAAGAAAACTTGTGAATGGCTTCCTTGCCTCTAAAACAGTGGTCCTGAATGCAGCATCTCTTCTTGAATAAATATTACCACTTACATTCGCTGTAAGGAGAAAAAGTCTTCACTTCTTAATTGCATCTGATGAACACTGGCTTTTCTCTGACTTTTTAAATATATAGATTCTATTGATATCTCAAAATAGCCAATCTAAACGAGAGCATATTATAGCACTTGAACGTTCTTTCTTAAGGGCTAATGCCTCAAGTATACTTTGTCAAATCGCCAAGGCAGCCAGGAACAGTATTATATTGGCACCTGCATATGACATCATAGAGTGCAGCTAATGTAAGGAGGATGTTTTAACAGAAGAACGAATACTTTGCTTAGTCTGGTCTCAACCAAACAGGGCAAGAAGCCTGATGGCTCCCTGTGTGGAACTCCCACGTAGCTTGGATATGCTGAAGATCTTGTCAACTGTTACCACTTCCTTGTAATTCTCAAAACCCCCTTATAATCCATTCCCGTGAAGGAGACATATGTGATCAAGTTTAACAAGAATCATTCTTTAAGAAGTCTAGAGATATTAAGTTGGTCCTATTTTTAAAAATTCCTCCAGTAAAGTAATTTTCCTCAGTAACTTAAACTCTAATTTTTTTAAATAAATAATCATGCACTTATTTTAAGACTATGGTAAGAAAGACATAGTGTAGATCTTGCCAATATCTCTTTTGAGAAAGCAGGACTCTTTCTGAAGCTTACTTGAGATAGGACATGGGAAAGTCTGATTCATTAATAACTGAAAAACTTTTCTACAAATATACTTATGATGCTTTGAAGAGGAACATCTTTAAATAATTAAATGGAGATTTTCTTTGGGGCTTGGATTTCCTAATCCAAGCTAGAAATTATCAAATTATCCCTTATAGCAGCTATCTTGAGAGATAAAATGGCCATCTTGTTTGCCTTTTTGAGATAATTGTGAATTTGAGAAAAGTGTGTGTTTCATTTTTTAAAAAACAGCTTTATTGAGATATAATTGATATACAAAAGACCTGGACTTACTTAATATACACAATTTTATGAGTTTGTAGAAATGCATACATATGCAAAAGGAATTTTCAAGCGCCTAGAGGAGATCTGGTTTTTCACTTTAGGTAAACAGAGTGATGAAAACAATTTGAAGACATTTTGCCACCTTTTAAGATGATTCAGTTATCTCAGTGCAAAAAAAATAACATAAAATGAATGTTATGGGTGCAAATTAAGAGAAAAGTTAGTGAACAGGAGTCCCTCCTTTCAATTTCTTTTGATTAAAAATAGTGCCTACTGTATGGAAGTAAACAGGAGACTGGTTATGGATTTAATTGCAAACAGTGCCTAGTACATACCACAGGAAACAAAAGTTTTTCTCCAAACATGTCAGTAAGACATTAAAACTGAAAGCCATTTTATTTATCAATGATGTCAGTACTCAAAGTAGTGCACTTAACATCTACTTCCTCTTGAAAAAGAAGCACATGAAGAGAGATGCAGAGAGCTTAGGAGGGGCATTGGGATTCCTGACAGCGAGGATAATGCATTCATTGGTCATGGGAAAGTGAGTCACGGGGAAATGAGGAAGGCATGGAAAGGCCAAGTTATGAGGTGATGGGAAAGAAGACATGTGCAGGGCCATCACAAGAGTGAAAATGGGAGAAATTTGAGAAAACTGGCAATGAACTGAATGTGTGCATGTAGAAGATGCATCTGCAGAGGCACAAGTGGCCAGACACAACTCTAAATTTAAGTACCTGATTTTTAAAAAATAAGTACCTGATTTTTAAAAAATAAGTACCTGATTTTTTAAAAATAAATCTACAACCTAAGAAATCTACAACCTAAGACTCCAAGCCTAACCATGTAACGTCTAGAAGTTCATTCCCTTTACCTTCTCTATGTGCCTACTGAGCAGCAGAGCAGTAACAACACAGCACTCCTTCCCCTCCTGGTTTAAATTTTGCAGGGGATCTGCGGAGACTGCAGGCTCAGCTGGGATTACAGAGGGAAGAGCTTAGTGAAGCAGGGCTGACAATAGGTCTTGTCATCCTGCTCCCTGAAGATGCCCTTTGACAGCTGTGTCAGGCAGAAAGCACAGACGAAGTGCTCAGGATGGAACTTGTGGCCCATGGCACTGATGCAGCGGCCGGTGATGGGCTGCCCACAGCCGTGGCAGAGTGTTCCTCGGCGCTGGTGGTAATGGAGCTCGCAGTACGGACGTCCATCCAGTTCAAAGAAGGAGCCAGAAGAAAAACTGCTGAAGCAGTCCTGGGGGAATGAGGCAAAGAGAAAGAAAAGGAATGCAGATGTCAAGTAGTAGAACGTCAGCAAAGTAAAACTTTCAGCCTTGAAACTCCCACCAGTTATGTGACAAACTAAGGGGAGAATATTACCTGCTTGCCAAAAAGAAGAGCAAATGCCCACAGTGGGTGCTGTTTTGTGCCTCCTCTAGTGAGCCCATGTTAATCCCTCACCCCAAGCTGTGAACCCTCTTCCCAGTTGCTGTTCTGCCCCTCAGAATGGAAGACCCTTGACTCTTCCTAAATCCAAAAGATAAGCGAGTATACAGACCCCACACACAAAGCATTCTGGGTGCCAGACGGTGTCCATGGCTGAGAGGTAGTTTTCCAACACTGGGCGGTTGCAGCCACCACACTTGGGTGAGAACATGGCTAAGAAATCCTTCCGGCAGTATGGCTTCTTGTCCTTCTCGTGAAAGCCTGGAGAGGTACAATCAACAGTTCATTGTGGGGTGACACCTTCCACCAAGTTGGAGGCTGAGAAGAGGCCAATGATTTCAACTTTCCCAAATTCAGTGTCCTCATATTCAATACCAACCTCAACAGCTCATCATAAGAAACACAAGGAAGGAAGGAAGGAAGGAAGGAAGGAAGGAAGGAAGGAAGGAAGGAAGGAAGGAAGGAACTGACAGACGAATGGACAGGAGGCAATGGGAGACAGGTGCATTAGTGCTGGGCCTGGTGTCTATTCCTGCTTGACGCCTCCGGCCTGCACAGCTCTGGCCCAGGCCTTGGCATGGCCAGTCTCACCTTATGATTCAGAAATCAGCTCAGAGATGCCTCTTACCAGCCCATATCTATGAGTTCATCATTTTTAAGAATCATCTTTCTAGCATTTACCATGATCTAAAACCATCTCTGTGGTCTGTATTCCCACACTGGAGCATTAGCTCTGAAACTAGATACTGTTGGTCTTGCCACATTATAAGTCTAGAACCTAAAACAGCACCTGGAGAAAAGGGCTTAATCTTTAAAAAGAAAAGGCTACAAAACAATAATTTACAAATGGATGTAAGATTCTAAATGTAACAATTGAAACCATGCAAAGGCTTGAGTCAAAAATGAATGGGTTCCTCTTTAACCTGGCAAAGAGAACACTGTGGCTCAAAATTTAAAAGCAAGTTAAAAGTCAATAAATTTAGCTCCATTAAAAATATATATGAATGACTTTGTGCATGACCAAAAGCACCACAAGCAAAGCCAAGACAAGGCACACACTGAAGAAAAAATTTGCCAATTATATCTCAGAAAAAGAGGGGGTGGGTTAATAAAGTAAATAAGTTAAAATACATCATGAGGAAATCGAAACAGCCAGCCAAATCAAGGATATGGAACATCTTACAGGACACAGGTTCCAGTTTCTTGGCAAAGTATTGGTATCAAAAAATAGGAGAGGATCATTACAGGACTTTTAAATTCTGAGAGGTAAAATGGTCAAATGCAAGGCATATGCTTTGCTTGGATGTGACTGATTCAAACAGACTGATTCAAATGACATGATTTACAAATTTGAGAAGTTTTTATATGGGTTTTATATGATAATGAGGAATTAATAATTTCATTAGGTGTGAAGGTAGTTATGTTAAAAAAAAAAAAGTCCTCACAGTAACTTCTTGCAAGATACATCCACGAAGGCAAGAGAAACAAAAGCAAAAATGAACTATTGGGACTTCATCAAGATAAGAAGCTTCTGCACAGCAAAGGATAAAGTCAACAAAACTAAAAGACAACCTACAGAATGGGACAAGATATTTGCAAATGACGTATCAGATAAAGGGCTAGTTTCCAAGATCTATAAAGAACTCATGAAACTCAACACCAAAGAAACAAACAATCCAATCATGAAATGGGCAAAAGACATGAAGAGAAATCTCACAGAGGAAGACATAGACATGGCCAACAAGCACATGAGAACATGCTCCGCATCACTTGCCATCAGGGAAATACAAATGAAAACCACAATGAGATACCACCTCACCCCAGTGAGAATGGGGAAAATTAACATGGCAGGAAACAACAAATGTTGGAGAGGATGCAGAGAAAAGGGAACCCTCTTACACTGTTGGTGGGAATGTGAACTGGTGCAGCCACTCTGGAAAACTGTGTGAAGGTTCCTCAAAGAGTTAAAAATAGACCTGCCCTACGACCCAGCAATTGCACTGTTGGGGATTTACCCCAAAGATGCAGATGCAATGAAACGCCGGGACACCTGCACCCCGATGTTTATAGCAGCAATGTCCACAATAGCCAAACTGTGGAAGGAGCCTCGGTGTCCATCGAAAGATGAATGGATAAAGAAGATGTGGTTTATGTATACAATGGAATATTGCTCAGCCATTAGAAACGACAAATACCCACCATTTGCTTCAACGTGGATGGAACTGGAGGGTATTATGCTGAGTGAAGTAAGTCAACTGGAGAAGGAAAAACAGTGTATGTTCTCATTCATTTGGGGAATATAAATAATAGTGAAAGGGAATATAAGGGAAGGGAGAAGAAATGTGTGGGAAATATCAGAAAGGGAGACAGAACATAAAGACTCCTAACTCTGGGAAATGAACTAGGGGTGGTGGAAGGGGAGGAGGGCGGGGGGGTGGGGGTGAATGGGTGACGGGCACTGAGGGAGGCACTTGACGGGATGAGCACTGGGTGTTATTTTGTATGTTGGTAAATTGAACACCAATAAAAAATAAATTTATTTAAAAAAAGAGGTAAAAAAAAAAAAAAGTCCTGACTAATCAGTTAAAGATGGTGCATGTTGAAGTATTCAATGGCGGCATAAGATTTCTATGACTTGCTTTTAAATATTCCAGCAAGAAAAAGGGATAGAAAGGGAGGTGGAGGTTAGAGGAAATTAGTGTGGCAAAATTAGTTTGGATAATTGGCGAAGCCAGGCAGGAAGCAATTTCCATAATATAAAATAGTAGTCAATTTGTTAATGTGTGAAGGCTTTCTCTTTAATACTGGACATCTTTACAGTTGGGCTCATGTTAGAAAACCCCTGACTGGAGCCTTACACATCCTATGTCCAGATAAAAGAGGATGAGAAACCCAAGGTGACTATTTTTTAAACTCTTTAAAATAAGTCATCCTCACAACAGAGACAAATAGCATAAGACAAAATACTTTTGGTAGTAATATGTTCAACATGAGTAAATCATGAAACTCAAAAGAAAAAAGTAAAGTTCTAATCTTTGCTAACTTGTAGTTTAATTTTTAATTTTAGCTAACTAGTAAAAACAGTGTTAAATAAGTCTACCCAATACTGGAAAATCCATGGAATGATTCACATATTTATATATTCCCAGGGGATAAAGTTAAATGTTAGTATTCTTTTGGAAAATCATTTGGTAATATGTATCAAAATTTTTTTAAACAGATACAGATATCTTTCTCCTGAGAATGAATCAAAATAATCAAAAGAAAATGTTGCATTTACAGATATTCACTGGGGGGATTCCTGGTTGGCTCAGTGGTTGAGCATCTGTCTTTGGCTCAGGGCATGATCCCAGGGTCCTGGGATCGAGTCTCACATCAGCCTCCCCAGAGGGACCCTGTTTGTCCTTCTTCCTATGTCTCAGCGTCTCTTATGAATAAATAAAAATCTTTAAAAAAAAAAACAAAAAACAAAAAAGATATTCACTGCAGTGCTACTAACATACAAGAAGTAATCTAAATATATTGTTATGAACACAGTTGTTTACAATATTTGGAACTATAAATAAAGCCTCGATGAATATCCTTAAACACATAATTTTTAATAATTTGTCTAGATAAAGGAATAATGGAATGATTGATATTAATGGAATAATAATGGAATAATTGATATTATTAAAATTATTATTATAAAATTATGAAGCCACATGAAGAAATGCTTAAGTGATAAAAAGGAATTTTAGGTACACCTAAGTTATGTATGCATAAATATTAACAAATGGAGAAAAATATGAACAGGGAATTTTTTTATTTTTATTTTTTTTAAGATTTTATTTACTTGTTCATGAGAGACACAGAGAGTAGAGAGAGACACACACAGGCAGAGGGAGAAGCAGGCTCTATGCAGGGAGCCTGATGTGGGACTCGATCCCGGGTCTCCAAGATCACACCCTGGGCTGAAGGCGGCACTAAACTGCTCAGCCACCCGGGCTGCCCAGGGAAATTTTTTTATGTTGCTTTAGGTTAACAAGTTAATAAGTTAAAAGTGAAGATTTCTGCAAGATTTTTTAAATTGTCTTTACATTTAAAAAAGAAAAATATAATAACCCAATTCATCTTCAAACATCTATTTAAGTAATGTATGCCCTTAGCTTTGAAAATCACTTCTCCCAGATTCCCAGATGGTTTGGTCCTACATGTACCTGAAAGTCCTGCAAGAACAACTGACCCAATCACCCTATCTCAAACAGCACCCTGTCTACCACCCCCTCTCCTACATATAGAGTAAATTATGAGTGGCTTATAAGTATAGAGTAAGTTGGTTAATTAATTGACTAGTTTTGATCATTATCTGTCCTCTCACTAGAATATATGCACCATGAGGGTGGGAAGTTTGGGTTTTTTCACTGCATCCCTAGTACCTAGAGCAGTACCTGACACATAGGTGGTAGTTGCTCAATAAATATTTACTGAATGAGGAGACATATGAACAATGATACAACAGCACAATCGAGACCATCAACTCCACAAGTAATGTAATTTAGAGTCTCTCTAGGCCTAACAACAATATGTGTAAATAGGTGAACTTTTCTGTAAGGGACTCTCCTTAGCACTTATCAGGAGAGCCTGCCTAACATGAAGATGGCTATTAGCAATCTCATTTATGCAGCATTTGCTTTGTACTGGTTCCAACTGACGGCTCTACCTGCAGTATAAATTGAAATTAAATCCTCTACCGCAATGCTCCCATCTTACAAATGAGAAAAGGGAGGCTTAGAGAAATTACATATAACAAAATAGTCAGCAAGGGATCTGATGTTCATACCTGGGCCTAACTGCAAAGCCTAACTTCAATGTCATGCCCCTAATTTAAGTGCATCCTGGTGTTGACCTCTCTGTGGGGACTGAGCATCAGTTGAGCCCAAATATCATAACCCAGAAGCTTTGTCAATATGAGAGCTCCACCTGCACCCCCCCCACTTAAAGAGAATGTAAACAAAGCATGCACAGTGGATTGAAAAGCGACCCACCCCAGAAACATTATTTCTAGGAACCCATCTTGATAGTAGCAGCCAGATCCAAAAAGGCAATAGGAGCAGCCAGAGATTGGGACCCAAGTCATGTAACTACAGTTTTTCTGTTATCTGATCACTTTTTGATATCCCTTGCTTTGTTCAACTATGCTGTCTTTGAAGACGAGACAATTGAATCAGCTTCTGAGGCCTATAGATCTAAGAATCTAAACTAATAATTTTATAAGCTTT